CTTCTGTTAGATCGTCATAACTTCAACGTTATGACTAAATATATCTCCAACCCTGAAAACCTGAAGCTCATGATGGAACTGCTAAGGGAGAAAGGCCGAAGTATTCAGTTCGAGGCGTTCCATGTTTTTAAGGTTTAGACTTGTTATTTTGAAAGTCTTCAACTAAACATCAATTATCAGATCTTTCTGGCCAACCCGGATTTACCGAGCGAGTTAGGTGATATATTGCTCAGAAATCCAGAAGACTTGGTATGTATTTTCTAATGGTTGCTATGTTATATTCTCCGCTCTTGTAGGCAGATTACTTACAAACGTTCTTCCAAGGCAGCGCCGGTGACCTCTGGCCCTTGGAACAGTTAGAGCTCTGTGTGGATTTGATTAGGCTTTTACCGGATGATTACAGTGGTATAGTTCTCATTTTTATTGAAGCATGGAGTACATTTTTTTAAAGATACTCTGGAAATTTGTGAACAAGACGTTATGAAAGCTGTAAGCAAAATTCTCAAAACACCTCCTCACAGGATAGATCAGAGGTATAAACTTGCTGCGTTGGGATTAGCTGAAGCATTTACAACGGTATATCCTTCCCTTTTTGTCTGTTTTCTTTTATTTTGTAGAAAAGAGGACCTTTATGGTTCGAAAACGACTGTCAGCTTCTGTGTCTGGTCGCATATCTTGCGTCAGCTGAACTAAGGATAATTTTAGATAATCCGGGTGAAATTTCTTTCAACTCTTTGATCATTTGTGTGGATCTTCTTGAGGTTCCGTTTTATGCAATATTCTTCAACAGTATATCGTATTCAGATGGCTATCAGAGCCGTAGATGACGAAGACTTTATAAACGATGAGGATTCCCTTCGTATTTCTCGGGCAGGTTGGTATATTTTCTAATTCAAACATTGCTTTTTTCAGTTCAAGATGCTAGTGCCTTTATCGTCTCACACTGGGTAGGAGCTCAAGAAATAGAAACGGAGAAAGAGAAAATATCTCAAGAGGTCGGGTTTGAAGTATAAAGCGAAATTAAAAGTATTTTAGGTATCGGAACTGTTCTATCGTTATCTATGCACGTTATTCTCTTATGGAGGAGAGATATTTCTTCAACCAGAAGATATAAAGAAAGTGACTCCTCTTCTTGTTCGAATCTTTCACCAGTTTTGTGTAGAGAAGGTAGAGCTGGTTTCCAAAAGTGAATCAATTGTTATGTTACAGGATATAATCATGGCTTCTGCCCTAGTTAAAGTTCTGCATGCTGTAAAATACGATGAGAAGACTGCTCTCCTTCTATGTGATTTTTTGTCAATCACTGATCCATCTGAACCGGATAACTCTGTTATAAACGAAGTAAGCCTGACTAGAAAGTGTTTATCAATCAAAAAACTTCTAGACTATTATATCAATAGCTAATTTGTCAGTTCGTTGTGACTGGTATGATACTGAAACTCTGTCAATATTGAAGACTAGAGCACTACTGTTTACAACTGAGGAGAAACTTCACGAAGTGATAAAACGAATTTGAGAACGTTGTCCATATTTTGATCTCTGAATAACATTTTTTTTCTAACACTTATTTTGACACAGCTGTTTGATCAAGTCTTTTATATCTTTCTCTTATGAGATAAAGGTTACTAATTGCTTTAGATGATTGTCCTTACCGATGTTGCCGAGCCCAGTGATGGAGTCCGTTTGGTTCAACAACAAGTGCAATGTTATGTTGATGACTCGTGTATTGGAGATGGATCGCTTTGTGTCTCAGAAAGGTTAATCTTCAGTTTTTCTGATTTCTGAGACTTTGATTGCTCTTTTCTAGAAGCGTCACTTGGATAAGTCGCGAAACGAAGAAGGGATTTTCGTTAACTTATCCTTCCATAATTCTTCATGCAGTCTCAACTGACATTAGTACTTTTGCATACGAGTGTATCTACGTGTTAGTAGATTGTTCAAGAGCCGGTATGTTTCATTCTTGATTTAATTGGTAAGAGTATTTTTAAAATTCGTTCTCAAAGGGCTGCGACGCTCTAATTTTGTTGTTTTTTTAGAGCGTCGCAGACCAAGAAACATACCATTGTATTCCGCTGCTGAAGCTGCTAATGTTAATGGTAGTGAGAAGAAATGGAAAAATATTCCCATATTCGTATGATTCTGCTTATTTTCAGATCTTAATTTGGCCCAGCAAGAGCTAGAGGATCAAGGGGAAGATGATGATAGTGAAACTGCTCCCAATGTAGGAATTCGTTTTGTACCAACTGATAACAGCATTTGTAAGTTATAGTCAGACGGCTCTAAACTGAGTATTGAATTAAGTAAATGAAATATACAAACAAATGTGTGAATGCCAAGAACTCAACCCAGATGAAGATGATGTATCAGGTAGGATGTTCGCTACTTCTGTTTTTCGCAGCTTTTCTGTTTCAGATGAAGAGGAGGAAATGGAAGGACTCGCTGAAGAAAACGAGCTTGGATTTGCTCCCCCAAATGGAGGAAGCTGGATAACTGCCGAAACAGTAAGTGGATTCATTTCATTTTTGTCCAGAGAAAACAAAATTCGTCAGCTTGCAAATTCTGATGGAGCTGTCGAGCTAAGTGAGGAGGGGCTTGCCACATTACAGCGTATACTTGGTGGTGGCGCAAATCGACAGAATCAAGAAAACAATGAAGGTAATAAAGCTTTGTTATTTTGTATTGGAATCCATTTGAATTATTGACTTCCCTTTCAGATGAAGATATGATGGAGTAGAAAGTGCATATGTTGTTCCTTCCAAAACGGGCATCTCTCTCTCTCTTTCCACGATTTTATTGTAAATTGTTAATTTTACATGCTCTCATCTGTGTACAAGCAAGCTTCTTCTTTTTAAGTTTAAAGAATCATTCGTTGGTCTCTTAAAGTTTTGTTTTTTTCTTGTTGATCCGAGTAACTTTTCAAACCCGAGTTCGGTGATGTTTCCTAATTTGTCACATAATGTCAACTTCTACGAAAAGTAAAGAGAAATCAATCAAACGTAGAAGAAGATTATGTTTCTACAATTGTTTCTTTACCTCGTGCCACTAGTTAGAGAATATTTTCTGACATTCTTATGATTTCCACTCTTTCGATTACGAAACCTCGTGGAAAAATGTCACAATCCCCAGAAAGTTATTCATATAAATTATCTTTTGATGCCAGCACAGCGAAACCAACCGCACATCTAAACGAGATGAAGTTGAATGATGTCTGAGGACGTTTCACGTATTTGACGTGGGAGTTACTAATTAGCATGGGTAATCAGGACATACGAGACAAGCCTTTCCCCCGAGTTCGAAAGGATTTAAACTTAAATTCTTTTGTTCACTATGAATCATAAATTAGTTGTTTTGGCAAGAAAGAGTGTGCCTGTTGGAGCTGAATGACGATTTTGTGGTTTTCCAACATTCTTTCATATAAAACAACTCGATTGTTAAAAAGATCTTAAGAAGAACAATTAGTTAACCTTTTTTATATGGTGATTGAAAAACAATAATTTCTTTTCATAGAAAGTTTTATGATTGATGCTTTCAGAAAACTATTTTTGTCTTCTAAACATAGGAAAAGTTTTTTTATTCCATATTTGGACGAGAGGAAATGGAGTTTTCTCGAGTCTCGGATGTCTATCGTGTTAATTGGTGGAGATAAGAATTGATGAGCTTAATCATACGTAGTTTACGTAAGAGATTTAATTGGAAGTAGCGAGTGGGAGTTTCAGGGAGGTACTTGATGGGAGAAGCTTTTCAAACAAATTAATGTCAAATGTTAATGTGTGTCATGTGTACTTTTGGTCAGCTACATCATTTGCTTATAGCATGGGCAGCTTCCTAGATCTTCATTAAAGAAACAGCAGCGTGAGGAAAAATGACTCGGATGATAAGCATAAGATGGTGTTTTTTCCTTTTATTATGCCATCTAAATCTCCCTCTATCTCTTTATATGCTCTGTCTGCTATATTACGACTGAAAACTTAATTTCTCTTGTGCATTACGTAGGATAATCTCAGCATCAAAAGTGCTCATTGATGGATGTTTATCATCTAAGAAGATCATTCTGGATTATAAGACATTCGAATGCAATGAAAGAAATTTTCTTCAAAATTTCCTTTAATCTTCTCCTTTTTATAGAAAAATTTGATTTTTCTCTTCTTTCAGTCGTACATTCTGTAACAGATATCACTATGCTTCTTTCCTTCTACTTCGTATTTCTTCTGCATCAGCGTTCCTCTCTCTCTCTCTTAGCTAAAATAGATTAAAGTTTATTTACGTGCGCATATAACTGTTTTAAATGTTTTTCTCTCGTAAAGCTTAAAGCCTTAATATTATTAGAATTTTTCTATGCTTTTCTAACAATTGGAGAAAATGGAAAAAGAAGAGAAATCTTTCTTCCCTCATTAAAAGGTCATTGCAACTGCTCTTGCAAAGTTTACAGTGCGATGAAGTCCTTAGGGGAAAGACGTTTTTATGCTGTTCAGATTTTGCAACTTTATCTTCTTTTACTTTTTAGTTTAAGTTTATGACGATGCTTAAATACTTGCTAAAGCTTTCCTTCCTGATTTTCTTATCTTCTTCGTCACCACCATGAACTTTGAGCTAGACGTGCTTGTGAGCTGAGAAAAAAGAAAACAACAATTCTGAACTTTTTTTGAGCAAAAATGGCCATGTTGCAAATATTTTCACGTTTTTTCCATCTTAAAAGGACATAGATCTGAATGGAGTGAGGGAGATGAAGGCAAAACCTTTTGAAAGAACCATTTATTGGAAGAGAAAAGTGAGTAAAAAAGATTTATTTTTTATTTTTTTTTGTTTTTACAAACGGAAATGTCAAACTTTGATCATTTTTTTTCTTTCTCAGAGGCTATTGAAGAAGTTGGAGATGAAAAGAAAGCTTCTCTTGCAACTCTCTTGCCTCCTTTTAGGCTAATTTACCTATTTTCATTCACATCTTGGACAATTCTTGTTTTCTTCTGATAGTCGATGTGGAAATACAAAAATTGTAGTGTTTATATGGTTGAATAAAGCCGATTGAACTTTCTTCGAGAGAAACTGGCTTCGTCCTGTCCAAAGTGTTTTCATTTCTTCAACTATTAGATACTTTATTTTATATAGCACCTCACTTACACACTCATACACTCAAATTGAAATAATCATGAGCAGAGAGAAGAAGAAAAAAAAAGAATTTAAAATAAAAATATTATTTTTGATGATGCGTTATCATTGCTTCCGTTCATTTTCGTCCATCATCACGATATGCGTGGAGAGGAGAGCTTCCTTTTTTGTTGCAAAAGTAGAATGGGAAAAAATAATTTAAATGTAAAAATGCTCTTTGTCGAGTAAGTGTGCGTGTGCGTGTGTCTGTATATGCATGTGTGTGTGTATGTGTGTGTATGTGCGTGCATTTCTATCGCATTCTGTTCAACAATTAAAATGAGAACGAAGACGATTTCATTCAGCTTCATCTGCTGATTTCATCATGCTTCATATGAATATGTAGAATAGTAAAAGTTTTATAAAAATCTTTAAATCATCCTATCACGATATATCAACTTGTTTGCATATTAACACACAACCGCTCTTCTCGCTTCATCATTTATGAGAATGAAAGCTGACTGACTATACGTCAACTCACGAGGCACTATCATTGATAGCGGCTTTTTGAAAACAAAATAAAAAAAAATCGAAAGATATATGCAAACGAGCTCTCTTGGATATCATTTTGATATCTTCACAACAAACAATTTATAGTTAACGAAAACATTTTTTGTGTTTCAAAAAAAAAAAAAGAAAAAAAAAGAAAAAGAAAAGAGGGGAGAAGATATCGTTAAGAACATGGAGACGCTCTGTATGACTAATGCATAACATAACTATACACATATAGTTATTTTACTTGTTTATTGTAATTTCTCATATATATTTTCTTATTTCTCTTATATTTAAATATTCGTTTTTGAATAAAATTATTGAGATAACATAAAGAAAAAAATACTTTTTACTCATTTTGCTCTTTCAGCTTCTATTGCAAGTGGAGTCTTTGGAACATTCTCTCTCTATCTCCCTCCATATCTTCCTCTCTCCCTCTCTCTCTCTCTCTCCCCTCTCTCTCTCTCTACAACAACTTCTATTTGTGTCCTGTCGTTTGCTAAAAAAAAATTTTTCCTTTTTTTGCTCATTTTTATCGGATTTGATTGGTAATTGTTCGCCTTTTGCTCATTCTTTGTGTCATCCCTAAATGTCCAAAATATTGACAAAATAGCTGAGAAGATTAATGAATTTGATAGATTTTGAGGATTTTCAGATTCTTCCTTTCGTCCTTTTAGCATCAAACTTTCTATTTTTAAACACTGTGAAGTCATCTGTAGATCATTAGGTCTTCATCTTCGTCCAGATGTCTTCCCTTGGGCTACAACATGATTCCCTCACTCTCTCTCTCTCTCCCTCTATGTCTCTCTGTAATAAACCTCTCCCTTTAAGTTTTTTGCTCTTTTTACCATTTCTCTCACTCTCTCTCTGTTTCTCAAT